CTCGCCTTCTAAACCTGGTGACTAGGAGAGAAAAGGCTTCATCAGGGAAGTAACCAAAAACCCAAAGGTCATTATTAGAGCTCTGTCTTTCCTCCTGAATGAGAGAGAGAAGCTTCCAGAAGGACATTTTTTTTCTACAACAATCCACCATTTAGGCCTGTATGGTGGCCCTTGAATTTTATTGGGCATCTCTACAGAGATCTGAAAATGGCTTCTCCCCAACAACCTAAAGATGTTAGAGATATCTTGAAAAGAACAATGCTAAGCCTGTGGTGTCATAGAAAAAAAATAATGATGATAATGGGCTGTAACTGCAGCCAAAGGTGGATTAACAAAAGCTGTAAATGCTTGTATAAATGTTTTTTCTCCTATTCTATTTTAGTACGTTTGCAACCATCTCATATTTTTCTGCACATTTTTAAAAATAGGTTATTGTGTATAGAATACAGAGGAAAGAGATCAGTTTAATTTCATTTGTAATTAGGCTGTAATGTAGTTAAATGTCTAAAAATCTCACCACTGTGTTGTTATTTGTTGTTTATAATTTTCCATTATTTTGGTGGTTGTGGACTGAAGAAAGGATTTTTGGATCCTTTTTTACCAATTTTATCTTAATATTCACTTCTTTATTTCACATGTAACACAATTTAATATACTAGTTATAGGTTTTCTATAAAAGTAGGGTTGTCAAAAGTATCGATACTCAAAAAAGTATCAATACTGAAACGTTGTATCCGGATACAATACTCGTTTTTAAAAGTATCGATACAGTGCCACCACCAGTGGCACCTAAGCAGTCATTCATCTAAAGTGCAGAATAGAGGACAATGCACTTTCAGTTTCAGACTTTTTTTTTTTGTAAGAGGTGCAGCTGCTGAGAATGATTTTTGTTTTTTAACCGGTTTGGCTAGTGTTATTGTTATGTGTGCAAAGCATAGCCAAGGAAGGAACACTTAGTTTTAATTTTGTAAGTTTTTTATCAAGCTTGCTTAATAATGTGCACAGCATACAACCTTTATTGTATTTATTTATTGTATTTTATTTATTAATGAAAATATTTCTGTAGAATTTTGGAGTCTTTGTGTTTATCCTTGTGGTATCGAAAATGGTATCGAGTATCGAATATTTTCCTTAGTATCGGTATCAGGTTGAAAAGTTTAGTATCGTGACAACCCTATATAAAAGTATAAAAACTTTAGCTTTTTGATGTAATTTATGATGGAAGCACAGTGTACCAGAGAGTATATATTTAAGATTACAAGGGAATTCTGTTTGAACATTGCTTTCACCCTCCCTCACATCCCCACAAACACGCAGAGATACAACACTCTCCCCAGAGTCCTGACATTGTCCTCTAAATTACCCCAATAATGAGATTACAGTGTTTCCCTCTTGTGTGAGGTGGATGAGGTGGGGTTATGGGTGTGGGGTGCATGGGGTGTTGGATTCTGGGAGGAGGTGATAGCAGCACTAGAGGAGCAGCCGAGATGGGAAAGACAGTTTAAGATAAGGATCGTTGCTGCAGAAATGCTCCCTGGGCTGCTGTGAGTAATTGTTCTGTCCTCTGTAACATTAGCTGTCATGATAATGGAATATTCACAGAGATTGATACCCAAACGGGATGCTCTGAAAGGAGGGATCATTTAAACGGCAGCAGCGATCTTCCAGTTCTTACCCAGACCAGGCATATTGCTGGCTCATACTTACAGTTTTGTCCTTTTCTCATATCTGCTTCAGTGTGAGAAGAGCTGGGGTGCAGAGTAGAAAAAGCGCTGACTACAGATCCATGAAAAGTTTTCAGGATTAAAACAAACATTAGAAAACTGGAATTATGTCGACACAAGTAATAATGAATTCATCCTGTTCAATGATATTTACTACTATTTCATGTCTTTTCCAGTAGTAATTTATACCATTTTAAGTTTCTGTCACAGTGCTTCCTATTTTATCCTGCAGATTATATCTGTGTGTTTTATAAACAAATCTATGGGCTCTAAAAATAAGAGGAGGAAGAGGATTTTAAACCTTAAGAACTGTTAGATTGTTAAATTATGTGTGTTTGCTTATGATGGGCTTCTGTTTTTTGGGTTTATTCTGTCACTGCTGCAATATTTGAGTTACAATATTTGAGACCATCGTTATGTTGAATACATGTAGACCACCTGGCATAGCTAGTGACATACATTTTCGTTCAAACACTAGGGCGTATTTTTTTACTACATCATGTCATCCATCTCTGTTGAAACGAAAGTCTGGATATAGGGCTTTAGAAAACAGATTGATACAGAAAAAGGGGAATCAGTTTGAGAAGAGGTGCATGCTTAGACATATAACTAAACTCTTCTATAGTATTAGCAAATTTTAGGATTTTTTCCTTTCCATGAGGCACACCTCATTTTTAATTTTCATTATTAAAGCATGGTGTGGTGTGTCTGCAGCCTCTGGTGTCTGTTCTGCTCTTACCTTCTTCATTCTCTCTGCTTTCGTCTCTGATCAACAGATGGAGCAAGGCATTAATCTCTTTTCTTGTTTTTATATTTTTATGTTCAGCTTAATACTTCTGTACTTTTTGAGTCCTATATTAAAGCTGTCAATAATCACTGCTGCCACCCTCTGGTTTAGGGAGGAACTGCTTGTTCCACCAAAAGTCCTATTTCACAATGTTAAAGAATCCTTTAAAAAAATTCTGTATCCAGATTATGATCTGAATCATCACAAACATTTTAATAACTGTTTCTAGCTCTGGTAGAAATGTTGTCAATTCATAACTTTTCAAGTAATCCTGGTAAAAAACCAACAAATATGATTGAAAACATCCTTGGTGAAGGTATTACAACTAAAAACGAGCAAATTGTATTAGTATAGCATCTTTCATGGTAAGTATCACAGCTTGACAGCAAAACAAAAAAGCTACAAAAACAAAATATAAAAAAACATACACCAAACCTTTAGGGAAAATGGGTAACAGTTGCTGGTCCAGAGAATGACATTTAAAATTAATTTTTCCCGTAGATAATAAAGATGATAGCAACTCAATAATTTGCTATGAAAGATACCAGAATATTGTGAGGGACAAAGATCAACAATCTAACACCATAACAGACACGTATTTCAGTTCTTTTTTTCGATGTGTAAACATTTACAGACAATACATGCATGTATAGCTTCTATAGCTATACATGCACCTGGTGTGTAAAAAGAAACTCTGAACCAAATACTTTCTTTGAAGAAATTATAAGAAATTCCAATAGATGCAGTTAGAAAGTACTGAGGGAGAAAACGAATAGATTCATAAATGTACAGGCTTCAGAACAGAACGTAGTGGTATGCTAAAGGCAAGAAGAGCATAGAGCAGCTGCAGAACAGAAGCTTTTAAACATAAATCAAGAATTTTTAATGTATCTGCAGCTTCTTACTTTCCTTCATCTCTTATGCAGGTCCAATCAGCTAGAGAACGTTATCACACTGATCAAAGGCCGCATCGAGGACATCAAGCTTCCCGTGGAGAAGGTTGACATCATTGTTTCAGAATGGATGGTCAGTAAAAGCATTTATATCACAGCTTTATATTCTGTTTCATTATGCCCAATAGCTAAATTTCAATAATTTTTCTCAAAACTATTCAATTAATGTATTTTCATCTCTTGGTGTTGACCAAAAGACTCTCTAATCAGACCCTTTATCTTAGCTTCTCCCTTTTAGGAAGACTGTTCCTTTTAATGACCTAAACCAGCTGTAGTGTTAAGCACACCAGTTAGTGAGGAGAAAATGTTTTTTTATTATTATTACCAGTACTGTTTTCAGCTGAAGGTATTATGGGGTATGTCTCAATTACCCTCTGCGTGTGTATATATATATTATCAAGTCTTATTCACAAAATAACTCAAGCTTTTTAAAATTAAATGGAAAGTGCCCATGGACCTCATTTTTCAACATTTGCCAAAGACTCCCAGCATGATTTAGGGCTGTTTTTTCACTAGACCATTCTATCATATGAATACATCCAAATCATTGTGATTGTCTCATGCATGACACTGCAGTGGTTGAATCTTTTCAACAGTCCTGAGTCTTTTAAAGGCTTTAAGAGATATTTTTATAATTCCCATGTATTTACCTCCATTCATCTCCAAATCCACTATTTTCAGCCTCATTGAAACTCATGAACTAATCCCAGTCCGCGACCATGCAGCGGTAGAGAAAACACTTAAAACCACCGCAACGCAAAACAACAGTGACGTAGAGTTAGAGCCTGACAGGACCTCCGTGGTCTGAACCACCGGCCCACATGGGAAATACATGGTAGTCCCATATTTCTATATTGGTGTAATGTAATTTACTTGGCTTACATTGCCATTGTTTGGCGTTCTTCTGTGTGAAGCAAATCTCATAGAAATGTTGATCACTGTTCCTTGTTGTCTTTGTGCTTTACATCCTGATGTGTTTCAGTGTGAACATCAATCCAAAATTGCTTCTTGGTGGCTTACCATACCAGGTTACTCTCCACCAGCCAATCAGTGGATTTTATGTGATCCTTTTTAGCCGCTTACCTCCAGGGCACGTAAAGACTTCACGTTTCTAAATACATGTGTCCTTAAGCGTTCTCGTGTGCTCATGACACATCATCAGCCTCAGCCCGAGCACTATTCCAGTTGCAGAGAATGCCAGACCGAGAACGCACCTGTTTTATTTGGCAAAATGTTCGTTTGATTTGTGTTTATTTGAATGTGTTAATTATTATTCCCCTATTAAATGAAAGTAAAAATTTATCATTATCTAGAGACTATAAATAACAGGAGGAGAAATGCAGCTTCAGACGAGCCGAGCATGTGGTGACGTCACGAGTAGGCTTCTTTTCCAATTGATCCATATTTATGCTGCGTGCTCCCCTTCTCCCCGAGTCTACACTTTCCTGTGTTCTTCTCAAGAACATACTTGGCGAGGACATGAGTCTGCACTCGGGTTCTAGTGAATTGAGAAACGGCCACTGTTTCATTTCACAGCGAGTCTAACTGTAGAAACACAGCTCAGCAATTTACTGTCAGAAACAGCAACATCGGTATAATTTTGAGAAATGTAATAAGTTAAGTACTCGTTAGAGAAAATAAGTAATAGGTACTTTAACTAATAAGGGCATCTGTTCCAATAAAGCTATTTCCATCGCTTGTCCCCCATTTAGGTTGGGGTAAACTGGGGCTGTAACACAGCTGTGTTTATAGTTATGAAAAAGTTAACATTAGTATTTGAATTCTACTCTCCAAATTTGTGCTCCTCAATGTTTATCTGTCTTGTAATATCAAATATATGTATTTGTTTTTACAGTTAATTTCCTTCTAAACTTAACCAACAAAGTAAACAAAAAGCTTTCATTCCGACTGACCCAACATGTTACCTCAAAAGCCAGCTAAAGGGACACTCCTTTAGCGTGGCGTCATCATAACGGGAGCTATATTTGGCTGTTAACTCCTGCTCTGAATAAATAACTAAGGACTGTCTTTCGTCCCCATGATTTCCATTTATCAGGGAGATGCTCTGTGGCGATACAGGCAGGATGGCCAAAGTTGAACGCACTGCCGAAGTCATCCTTAATTCATGAGCATCACGTATCTGTCCCTCCTCCCCCACCCACCCATTCATTGTGATACCCCAGGGTCACAGGCACAGGTCGCCAGCCAGAGCCTTTCCATCCTCTCGAAGGGGAAATTGAAATTCGAAGGCTTGACATGCCAGTGGAGCAGTGAAGGATAGGGGGCGTAATCTCTGATGACACTGGCTCACAGAGTGCTAATAAATCTAAGAATTCCCCAGTCACTTCTCATCAGGGCAGCAATGGCAGACATTTCTCAGAGACACTAACACTTAAAAAGCTGCTCTCCAATCTGTCCACAGTAAAAATAAAAAATGACAGTAGTCCTGGGAGCAGTCGTTCTGACCAGTTTCTTTGGATTGTAAGTAACTTTCTTGACTTCTTTCATAAATCCAGGTCATGTCTTATTAACTATGAGTCACCCTGGATGCATTTTCTCCCCGATCCTTTTTCTTGTGATTTAACTTTTGAATTAGTTGTTCGACCATTAGATCAATGTTTAAAGCTTATTAATAATACACTTTTAAAACTCAAATTATTTAAGTCTTTAAAAACTCTTTGAGTTTTGACGTCACATTTTGTTCCGCATCTAACAGCAAGCTTATTTGTAAACAAAACCCAACATCTTCTACCTCTTTAGAATCTAGTGATCTTAAAGCAAACGACCATCAACTCAATTGTAAGCCAACTATACTCCAAAAATACCACTAAATAATAATCTGTCATCCAATTACAATTCATACTTTTTACTTATCTTGTTTTCGTCTTCTGGTGTTATAAAACATGTTCTATCCTGGCATAAATGGGCTTATTTTGTCTGTAACATGCCATAGAAAAATGCTAACCAGATTTATTTACCATGAAATAAAATCCCATGTGTATAATTATTTGGTTTTTATAATACAAAGCTATTTTTTTCCCCATGAAAACGTCAAAATAAAGTGGATATAAGCAAATTCCCCTGACGTATTTCCATTATTATAGGTTGTCTATGCTATGTTGGCTAATTCAACAATCGGGTTGCTTCCAAAATCAAGCATAAATTCTCAGTATCCAGAATCTGTTGGAAACGCACACTTGTGGCACCTGTAGTCTTTGTACACATGGAACTCCACAACTCAGTGAGCAATTAAACTTTGAGTGACATATTTTGTTAGCCAATAAGATGAGCTTTGTCATTAAGTATTAAGTATGCAAATATTGTATTTATTTATGTGAGAAAGGAGGGGGAGGAAAGGAGGGATGATTAGATGAGCACTGAAAATGCTTAGTCAAAATTCTGAAAGCTGAAAATATGAAAATTATAAAAGTCCTTGAATTAAACTTTGTATAAGCTAAACATCTTTTTTATGGTCAAATTAGTCTCATATTTCAAATAATCCACTTTGGCACTTGGTAAATGAACCTTTTGACTAAAATAAAGTGTCATAATTTAACAATTCTTATGACTAAACATCTGAAATTTGAACAGTTGTTTATGAAGGTGATTTTGAACCAAAACTGTGAGTAAATTGTAAGTGTGAAATTGAAGTTGCAGAAGGATTTACATTTTAAGTTTTGTAGTTGTAGAATAAAAAAAAAAAAACAGTTCATAAGTAAATTTTTTGTTGTTTTAGATCAACTGGAGAAAAACTGAATAGAATACATTTTTGATGTACAACTCACAGAACACAATTTGTGTACTTGTACTCAAGAATTTGACGAGGTGTAACTTTTTTTGTAGTTCGATAAAAAAAAAAATCTGCAATTACAAAATACCAAAGTTACAATGTTGCAACAATAGTTCCGGACCATTTGGAGCAAAACTGAGAATGTAAGCGATTGATATCCAACTTACAGAACACAATTTTTGTATTTGTACTTCAGAATTTGAACAGGTGTTAAAACAAAATCAAAATAGTTCTGAATTTTTTTTTTATTCTACAATTACAAAACATATAATGTCACTCTTCAAAATTACACTTACAATGCACAAATAGTTTTAGATTCAAATTTGCCTTCATAGAAAAAAATTAGATTGTGATTTATTTCAATCTCCATTAGTCTATGGTAAGAGTAATATTTCAGCTTTTTTTTTGTTTTCACTAGGGCTGATATATAGGGCTCCCCTACAGGTTTGGTGGGGCACAGTTCAGTAGATATCAGGGGCTTATAGCCCGGTGCGGCTTATATATTTACATTTCCAGTTTTTTTGAAAAACTTTGTGGTGCAGCTTATAGAGAGGTGCGCTCTGCATTCTCCAAAATATAATACACTAGTGACTTCAACAAGTTAAGCTATATAAAATCTTATATACTGCACTGATTAATAAAATACCATCCATTAAATTATCTATGTAAACAAACATCATCATCACTTGACAAGAAAGGTGATCCAGACATTGCAGAAGCTATTATGTACCATATTGGCCTCCGTATTGTTGGAGGAGGAGAAGCAGTGGGGGGAGAGGTTCATGTTGCTGCAGTTCAACCATTAGATGTGGCTAAAAATTATACTCTGTAGCTTTAATCAAATAAATGCCTCGTTACCAGGCATCCTATGAGCTGAAAATGCCATTTGAGATCAGATTTGGGACCAGAGATGTATCTAAAAGTTCCAGTGTTGTATATTTTTATGACTGCATCCCTGATTAGGCCTTGCCTAGCATTTATGTATTTGTGCTGCAAAAGTTTGAGTTAAAAGTTATTCTTGTGCTGACTAACAGCACGATAAATCAGAAGCTTGTTCAATTAATAGATCTGGCTATTCATGCTTGCTGGTTTAAGAGAGTCATTTATTTATTCTCTCATCAGAAGCTATCTTTTATTTGAAAGATAATAAGCTGAACAAGAGCTAAGCTGATCCGTCATGTTCTTTCTCATGAAAGTGGAAAAAAAAGGAAATCAGCAGGGCTTTGAAAAATGGCCATTTTAGAGAAGTTGTAAATAAATGGATTAAGGTTGCTAATGGAAAA